GGTTTGTATAAAGTGGGACGAAATGATTAGCTTAAACTATTTGAAAAGCATTGCTAATTTGCTTCGCTTTGATACTTCTTTCACTGGCTAAGTTATAAAATTTTCCGAATGTCTCAGTTCCTTACTGGGAGTGTTTGCGGAAAGGGTTTTCCTTTTCGATTTTGAATGAGCTTTGAAAAGACATAAAATGTATTTCGGAACATATTTTTTTCAAAATTTGATCGCGCAGTAAATTAAAAAGGAAAGAGAAGCGGAGCCGTGTAACGACCGAGTCAAATTTAGAATGCGCTTTTTCTCCCGGAAGCTAAACAGGCCATTTTCTACAAGAAATCATTTTGCTTCCAGGTGCTTCTCATCATCCAAATGATGTGATTTACCAGTATCAATGAGTTACTTGAATTACCAGCACCAATGTGTGTTTTGTAAATCCCGTCACGGGCAGTTTTTTGCGGATTTAAAGGCTAAAACTTTCTTTCTTTGTTTTTTTCTAGAAAGAATACTAAATGCGCAAATATAAACAGTAACATACCGGCAGCTATATGTAGAACCACAGGAAGTTGTGATTGTTTTGCTTCTGCTATTTTGAATAATTTGCTGATTATTTTCGTCGTTGCAAGTAGTGAGTAAACAGTAGACCTTATCAGAAATTGGGCCTACTGTTTACTCGCAATTCGCTCCAGACACTGTTGCTAATTTTTGGTGCACCATTTTGTAGCAAGACTGATAAAGTAAGGAAATGTACTGTTTTTCGCAGAAGTCAATTTTAGGGCCGCCAGTGTGTAAACATGACGAGCGAGATACAGGGTTTGAGTAAAAAAATATGTGCTGATGAACAAATCATGGAGCAGTCCCTGAAAATCAGATAAGAAATTTGAAAAAAGTAAAGAAACAAAGCGGTCTGTAATACTGTAATATTTCATACCCAGAGGAATTCGACAGAAAGCTGCGTTTGGAAAACAATCCAAAAAAATTTAATTTACAAAAACTTGCTAATGGAAAATTTTGTTTTCTGCTGACATCAAGAATATCAGGACCGCTCGGGCTACCAGTATGGTTATGCTGTTAGTGATGTTATTTTCTGCTGAGATTGAATTTAACTTGTAATGGTAACAGAAACGATGCAGATAACTGCAGAACTGATGCAAAATAAACAGCCGTGCATACCAAAGAAATTATGTGGCTACGTGATTATGCAGTAAGCTGTTATGAGAGTCCAGTTGATCAATGCGCCGAAAATATATAGAGGACTTCGCCTTAGTCAATGAATAGGGTTGTATGCGACTTAATGGACCGAAACGTTTCAAATCAGTTTTTATTTTTTATTATTTCTTATTTTTACTTCAATTTTCTACTCTGCTGCAACCTTTTTCATAACCACAAAATACCTAAATTTAAATTAAGCTGAAGAGTGAGAGTACGCGCTGTATACTAGCTGAAACAATGCATTCAGGATCGAAGGATCCGGCAACTAATTAACTGAGCTTAGATTTGAAACAATTAGCTGAATTTAGATTTTCCATGTCACAAGAAACGCGTATTAGCTTCAGATTTGTGAAGTTAAGATTTTCTGTAAAAAACTATCGTCAGTAGGGGACTTCCCTATTTTTG